TTAATTCAAATGAAGCAAATCTCCATCCTCATCTGAGGGATTTTCTTTTTTCCTTTTCTTTTCCCACTCATTAAATTATGGAGGCGAACCATAATCATCACCCCCCCACCACCATTCATGATCTGGTTGTAATAAAGCAGAATGTATTAGCTTGAATTTTTATTTTATTTTTTTGTGCTTCGTCATATTTATAAAAAATCTCTATTTTCAACATTTCAGCATCGGTGGAAAGTGCAGATCAAAAGTATTTTCTTTTTTGTATTCAGTTATACGACTCTGTAAAACAGCTTTAAACACGTCAATAAATATGTTCCAATCTCTGACTGGATGCGTCTTCCTCCCTAAATTCATTCACACATTTAAAACTCTGTTTCCTTCTACTGCAACCAGAAACCGTCACCAGTTCAATCTACAGGTACATGCAGACATTAACGGTAAAATTATTCATAAATAATTAGGGATGCACGATATTGGGGTTTTGGCCGATATCCGATATGCCGATATTTTAAAACTCATGTAGCCGATAACCGATACCGATGTTAAAGCTGGACAAAAATAAGTAGTCATTGAAAATAGCAGTTTTGTTATCCATTTCTGACACTTTGATAAATAATATACTCAAATATATTTTCATATGCTGATATCAAATTGATTTTTAAAAACGCGGTATCGATCTATTTTACTTTGAGAATCTCGTGAAATTTCATCGTTCTGTTACAAACTCTTGTGATATTTCGCAAATTCTTGTGAGATTTTGTTAGTAAAATAGATCGATACCGCGTCAATATATGAACATATAAAATTTTGGCAACATTTCGTGAATTTTCGGGGGATTTCGTAGCATAACGATGACATATAGCAATATGTCATTAGTAAAAGAGATTTATATGGTGTTTTTAAATGGCAATATATCAGCATATGAAGATATTGTGATATTTTAATGTATCAATATTTTATCCCTCGTCTTTAGAAGTTTTTAAGTCTGTAAAAAAGATGTTTTTGAGGAAGAAGAAGAAGTAGTATATTTTTTTTAGACTTTAGAAACTCAGAAGCTGATCAAATATCGGGTTAAATATCGGTGGGGTGGCCGATGTCCGATATTCAGTTTTAAGGCCGATACCGATAGGAGGCCGATTATATCGTGCATCCCTATAAATAATAAATAGGGGGCGCTGTTGAATTGGTTGAATTGCTGGGTCTGATTATCGGGAAATACTGAACGACTACAATGACCAAAACATTGGCAGAGCTACTGAGGAAGGCCGCTGCTGCTTTACAGCAAGCGCCTGCTTCTAACGGACCTGTGGCAACGCCGATTGCTCCTGAGTTTCCTGAGTTTCATTTTTTCTTGAATTCAGGAGGTAAGTGAGACACTTTGCCAATGGAACAAGACAATTTACACTTAAAATAAGAAAAAAACAATTGCTTTGTCTTATTTCAAGTGTATATTATCTAATTATCTTATTTTAGGAGTAAAAATACTCATTCCATTGGCAGATCATCTTATTTGCCTGCTCAAATTAAGGGTAAATACTAGTGTTGCACCGATACCAGTATCGGACGGGGCCCCGATACTGCCCTAAAATGGTGGTATCGGTATCGGCGACTACCAACAAATAGGGCACCGATACCATTTTGAGCCATAAGTTTATTCAACTATTGTCACCCACTCCTGGTAGGCAATAAAAAGTTCTACTGGATTCACTTTGTATTAGATTTTTTCCTGCTTCACAAAGGTAGGCAGCAGCTTGACAAACCATGATGGCAATTATTTTACATTATTATGGTATCGGTATCGTCTGATACTGCACAGCCAGGTATCGGTATCGGGCCAAAAAAATGGCATCGGCGCAACACTAGTAAATACACTTCATTTAAGACATTTTTTACTTATTTCTAGATGTTTTTTGCAGTGCACGGACCTGAGGAAGAGCGGCTGCTGACGTCACTCTGCTGCTCCCGCCGCTCAGAATGCTTTTTCATTTTCGAGTTATGGACAGTACTTTGCAGGCAGACCATGAAAACAAAAAAGCAATGTCCCCTCCGTTTTTTTTTTTTCTTTGATTATGGCATAAAATGTGCAGACTTAATAAAGAAAATGCAAATTATTTATAATTTATGAGCCAAATAATGCAGCCACATTCTTAAAATGAAAAAGCATTTCTAAACATGCTTTCTTATTTTCAAATTTTACATTTCAAATTTAATTCTGGTATGTATTTGCTGGGGTACATTTTGAAAAATAAATCTCAAATGTCTTTTTCATTTTACTGAGCAGTGTTGAAGAAGAAAATGAAAATGCAAACAGAATGATTGATTACTAATTTTATTTATGAGTCAAACAATGCAGCCACATTCTTAAAATGAAAAAGCATTTCTGGAAACGCTTTTTCATTTTAAATATGGTAACCATTTGCTTCCAAACAAGAACAATATGTTTTCTAAATAAAGACAAACTATACTTTCCTACAGCCTTTGCCAACAAATAGACGCATATATT